GTGCCTTTGAACACTCCGAGGGGGGGGGCAGCCACAGCTTCTCTGGGTACCTGCTCTGCTGCCGTCCAAACAGGCTGGTTCTGCTGCGTCCTGACAATGTCCTTGATGGCCTCATACCAGGCGCTGCTGCTGAGGCTGACGGTGGCAGTGAAGAGGTGGCTGCAGTGCTTCTTCATCTTGCTGGCCTGGGCATAGAGCCGCCGGGAGCTCTTCCTGGAGTCGGGTGCCAGCCACTGGCGCATGGCCTTGATGCCCTGACGGCTCTCGGGCTCACAGAACACCACCACTGGGTAGTACTGCACGTAGTTGAGGCGCTCCACAGCCGAGGGGGTTATGTCCAACAAGGCGTGCTTGCCCTGGGGCAGGACACGGCCATGAGCCCCACTGCGGGCAGGGACAGCGATGAAGGCCGTGCACTCCCCCCAGGCCCACCCAACTCTGAGGACAGAGGGAAGGTCTCTTCACCTTTTCTGCAATCTGCTGCACTGAGTCCAGCTTGATGACCTTGGCTGATGCCCCATCGCGGGGCAGGCTCGCTGCAGGACATGGAAGTATGGTGTGAGAGGGGCTATCTCCAGCAGCCCCAGGATGTGTCATAGAATCATAGAATCCCAGCCTGGTTTGGGTTGGAAGGGACCTTAAAGCTGCTCCAGCTCCAACCCCTGCCACGGGCAGGGACACCTTCCACTAGAGCAGGTTGCTCCAAGCCCCTGTGTCCAACCTGGCCTTGAACACTGCCAGGGATGGGGCAGCCACAGCTTCTCTGGGCACCCTGTGCCAGCACCTCAGCACCCTCCCAGGGAAGAGTTTCTGCCCAAGAGATCATCTCAATCTCCCCTCTGGCAGGTTAAAGCCATTCCCCTTGTCCTGTCCCTACAGACCCTTGTCCAAAGCCCCACTCCAGGTTTCCTGGAGCCCCTTTAGGCACTGGACCTGCTCTAACATCTCCCCTTCAGGAGCCTTCTCTTCTCCAGGCTGACCCAGCCCAGCTCTCTCAGCCTGGCTCCATGGGAGAGGGGCATGACTGGGGCCTCCCCAGACATGGGGAGAGGGTGAATGACTCCAGGAAGGTGTTGGGGTGTCATGGAGAAGGGCAGTGAGGCATGACTGGGACAGAGCTACAGTCAAGAGCTCCCACACACGAGTCCTCTGGCACAAGGGGCACTCACGGGCAATCTCAAACAGCTCAGGCAGCTCCATGCTCAGCTTCTGCATGGCAATATCTGTGATGGGGCCCAGGATCACCACCGGCCGCTTGAAGCTGGCTGTGGGGAGAAGACAGACCTGCTCATGGAGCTGGGGTGAGGACAGAGCTCACAGCACCCCAGCATCCAGCCCCACTCCTCAAGGTGCTCATGGGCTTGGGACTCCCTATGGGGCAGCCCCAAATTGAACACCCCCTGGGTGGCTCTGGGCAATGGGAACACATTCCTGGTGCCCACCTTCCTTCAAGACCACCCTCTCGTAGGGTGGGTAGTGTCCCTGCTTCGTGAGGGCAGACAGGTCCTCCCGGCTCTTCCGCAGCACCTTCTTGGCTCCCCGCAGGCCCCGCAGCTTCCAGAACTCGGCCCGCGCTCCGGAGAGGCTGGCACTGGACGTGGCTTTCAGCACTGACTCCAGGCTGGCGATCTGCTCAGCCCTGCAAGGGGAAAGGCATCAGGACCAGGCTCCAAAGAGCAAGGCAGAAGAAGCCGGTGTCCTGCTCGGCAGCATGGCTGGGAG